GTGTGAGTTCTCAGCGGGCTCTTGGACTTCAATGCGCAAATTGGTGCGCGTAGCTACCCTGATTTCTTTGTCATGTTGGGGGTGACGTCGACCCCCAGCGTGTTGAGTCGTCCGGGGCTTCTTCATTGGGCCCAAACGCTCTTGAACTAGAGCTTTGCCTCTCTCGTCGAGAATTGGACCGAGGCGTTCCAAAACTGATTTCTTCCTTCGGGACGATTCTGCATGATCTCCCGGCGAAGCTATTGGAATGATCGGCGACTTTGGTTGATTCGCCGGTGGTTGAACTTTTGTCGGAGACTGCTTCGGCCTCCATACTTGGCGGGTTGGTAATGTCTTTTTGTCCACTCTTTCTTCCTCCAACTTCTTGGCCTCCTGCACAAGAATTTTTGCTTGTACGAGTAACGCGCGGCGTTTGTGAATCCGCTCTTCAAGTGTCGAACGGTTCCGTTTGACCCGGATCCATTCGCTCGTTGGCGGCTTGGAGGAGCTGTCATTCTTCAGTTGTTGAGGCTGTTTGCCTCCCCTGTTCTTCAGATCCGCGTTGTAGCGGACTCCGTCCGTAGACTCCATCGCCTTAGCGAATTGCCGCGCAACGCGTTGACGTCGCCTCTGGCGGGCTCTCTTTGAGAGAGTCACAACGCCCTCAACAGTAGAGGCGTCGGCAAGAACAGGTTTGACCTCGTTGGAGGTCGGTGGAACTTCACCCGACGCAACTTTGGCATCAGCTGGGGTGAGAGCTTCGTTGGCGTTCTGAACTTCTTCAAACCAACGAACTTTTCTCCTGGAGTAGAACTTCTTGAACTTGCGGGGGGAGGTAGATCCGGACGAGGATGACAGATACTCCTCGAACTTGGCCTGATCGAATTCATATTCGACCTCCTCCTCGACCGGGATTGAGATCCGCGGCTGCGACGTGACGATCTCGGCAGCGAGATCGGTGGCTCCTACTGTGGTCGCCAGATTATTCGCGGGAAAAATTGTTTTCTTCATTGACGTCATTATTCTCTCAAGTAATTGCTTTTTGATTACAAAAGATCCGGTCTTTTTATAAGATCCGGTTACAACGAAATCAAAGAAAAAATAAAAAGATTACAACTTTCCTTTTTTGAACAAATCACGAGCTCCTGTTTTGCGGCCGCTCGCTTTTGTGGGTTCTTTGCCAACGCCGGGGTTAATCCGTGGACCACCGCGCGATCTAGATCCGGTCGGATCTACACGATTTGACGGGTGTTATCTCACTAAGGAAATAACAGCCGGGGGGTACTATTTGACCAAGGAAATAATAGCCTTTAGTTCTCGGGATCAAAGACTAAGCTTTGATCCGGAGTATTACTTCGTGTAGATCTCAGATCTGATTTCTCTCTCTCGAACTCCTGCCTTTTGTGACGTGGATGCTCGCCAAGAACCAGATCTGAATGTCCAAGTCTTCAAGTCTTCAAAACTCCATGCTCAGTTCTCAATTCGGCAGAGTTTCGGCTCCAAAAGTTCCAAACCCTCAACAAATGAACCAAGCCCTCTATTTATAGGCCATCTGAACTGTGCCCGCGCACAGATCTGGGCCGGCCACTTATAGGTGGCCGACTCTTGGCCGAGCCACCTTGAGGTGGCTCGGTTTCGGCCGAGCCCCTCTAGGTGTTGGGTTTCCGCTGTTTTCCGTCATTGTATCCATTTTTCCGGTTCTGTGGTTGATTTGTCCGGACTCGATTCGTTGACCTGATTTGGCAGTAAATTTGATTCCTGATTTGGCAGTAAATCCACTTCTGAGTTCGAGTCAGAAACTGATCTTGATTCCATCATGATTCGTCCGAGTCTGCTCTTGGTTGGATGACTCGTTGATTCCTCAACCCGTTAACTTGATTCCACATGCGAATGGATGTATTCCATTGTTTGCGTGCGGTTCGTTTGCCACGTCGCCTCGTTAATCCGCTTCGTTACGTGTCACTTGGCTTTGGCATTGTGGGTACGTCGCCCAATGGTTCGTCGGTTTGTGCCGAGCTGTGCTAAGGGACCTATAAGCAATTTTATACGTCTACAAGGTTTTCCTTAAGAATATCAAGAGTAATATTCTCCAGAAACTTCCTGTTGAGGGTAGGGAAACAGTTTAAACTCGTGTACCTATTGGAGTATTCATGTGTGTCGAAACAGTACATCAAAATGATCGGCGAGTCGGGGTTATAAAACCCCGACTTAGGGTTTTTCAGAGGCTTTTTCACGTCGGCTTTTCCAGCGATTTCTTGGCGATTTCTGGGCGATTTCTTGCAAGTTTTCGACTTCCGTTTGTTCTCCTTGCTTCTGATTTGGGTGAGGTTGTTGTTTGGGGGAGATTTCACTCGGATTTCTGAAGGTTCGTTCACCCTCTTTCTTCAAAATCTCAACTTTCTTTGACTATGATTCTGCATGTAATATTTCTGGCGTATATTGTGATATTTTTGGTGTTATCTTTGTTGATTCTGAGTCCGAAACCCTAATTTTCTTATTGGGTTTCAAAGTAGTTTGTGCACTCATCATGTCGCCACGTCGATCCAGAGGTTCCCGAGGATGTTCGACTGCTCAGTCCCCTGAAGAGGCTGCTCCTGTTGCCGCTTCGCATGGGGGTACGTTTATTTCACCCTTTCACTGTATTGTGTCCACTTTATGTATATATATCTGTGTTTGAATGCAGATCCTCGTTTGTATCCTTTGAGATACCTTCGAGAAGAGCCGGTATCCTCCTTTGAGGGGATCGACGCTTAAAAGTGTTTGTTTTGCTTGGACAAAACACACTTCAGTACATACAGGGGCGATTTCACATCATCCCACGTGTGTTAAAAGGCTTCGATATGCCGTTATAATGCCCGTGCATAGTAACGCATATCTCCTTTATACATGTGGTAGATGGGAAATTGTCACACCTGTTATGGGGTAGCAACTATATTTTATGGATTAAGATATACCGTTTTCTCTAAAATTTTAGGACTATTCTTACACAATTTATGTGTATGTTTTCTTTACCAGTCCAATTTCCTTCTACCATCTTTACTGCTGATGCGGTTACGGGTCAAAGTAGCGCTACCCACTCTTATTATGAGGGGCTCCTGTTAATTGAATCATCTCCCCAGTTCAAATCTGACTATAGTGAAGGGGCTAGAGATTTGATCCAGCGAGGTAGTTGTCGCGTTCTACGAAGGTTAATCATAGATGCAACCTTGATTTCAGAGCAAGACTCGAATCAATGTATAAGGAAGCCGGATTTCTTATTTGGTGATTCGGTAAAAGATCCAGAGATTGCTTTCTGTAAGCCTGCGCAATGGTTGCACCAAAGCGGGTCATCATTCTTATATCTGCCCTGGATTCCTCGGGAGTATTCGCTATTAAAGTTCAGGAACTTATCCGTTAGCCATGAAATGTTCTGGAGATTAACTGAAAATCACGAGCGCATTCACTGTGGTTTCATTGGAAAAGAGGCTACCCCGGGTTGCAGTGAAAGAGCTTCTGTACGAGGGCTTCATCCGGGTGTCTTAGGTCAAGATAATATACCTCAGAATGAAAAAAAAGCGCATGCCAACACCGTGAAGAACCGGTTAGCGGCAGCGAGAAAAAGATTACCCAGGGAGAATTTCAGATGTTATGGATGGGTCCATTATTTTGGAGACAAGTGGTGGTGGACCAGAATGACTCGCTATGTGTTGAACCGTTGGGGGCGAGAGTTAGCAGTACTAGGGTTGGCGGTCCCGATCCGTGCTACTATGTATGGTCTGCAGATTAGTGTGGTTCATTTCCTCTATTTGTTCGAGATCTACAACCCGGACACTAATACATTCTTTACCAAGAATGGGGAGCTCAGACTACCACTGCATGAAATGATGAAGGTGTCTGGTTTGCCCATGGGCGATGTTCTATATCAAGAGTTCTTCCCAACCACCAGTCAGCTGAACAAGATGAAAGATCGGTCAGCTGTGACCCATGACACTTTATGGGAATTGACCTGCCATTATCACATAGCCATGGCCGAGATGGAGCCCAAAGCCAGGAAGAAATCCCCCCAGACCAGTTTAAAACAATTTACCGATTATCTGTTCAAGAACCTGGATGACCGTTCGGAAGAGGTACGCGGATTGTCTCCTTTGAGTTCGGGTGAAATCAATCGGCTGTTAGAGAAAACAAACGCGCAATCTTATACCTCTCGCTCAGAAGACGGATTTTTGCATGGTACTAAATTCCGCCCTTATCTGTGGCAAGCTGGTGTCCCGATTCATCCTACCACCCTGCTTGTTGGCTTCTTGGCCTTATGGTTGAAGAGGTGTGTGGTTCCCCATCAATCCTCCGATGCGATGCCAATGGAAGTATTGTATCCTGCCGTCCAGCTAGCTACAGGTCGCAGATTATCCTTGCTTCCTGCTATGGTGGCTACTATTCACAGTGGATTACGGTAATTAATCTCCGTGTTCACCCAGGAGAAAAAGAAACCCTCCGCCAGCCTATCCGTTCCGAAACTGGAGCTGCCCTACACTTATCTAATAACCTGGTTAGTACTTCACCGGCCAGATTTAATGGAAGCTCTTGAGATGGTAAATCCCAGCCTTCCTCTGTTGCAAAATCTTGAGGGTCGCAAATGGGTCAGACATCGATGGTCGGACATCACAAGGCAGTTTAAAATTCACAAGTGTTGGGAATTCTTCCCTTGCTTTCCTCGATTCTCCGGTACGTACAATACGACTTTATTAGATGCTGAAGACCCAAGGCAGAATCGTACCATCTTGGACGTCGGGTGTTTCCGATGGTTGATGAACATTCGACCTGGATATCTATTGTTCAGGGTAAGAGATGTTTGTCACATTGAACCCTATTTTCCATGTCGATTTGCTCGTCAATTCGGCTATGATCAAATGTATGACGGCAACCCGAATCGTCACCTTAGTTTTCGAGGTAGACTTATCGACGGTACGAGAGCTTGGTTTTGGAGTATTGCCGGCTGCACCAATGCTGAATTTGATCTCCCTTTAGAAGCGCCGCCTCTCCGGATGACCTTCCTGTATTGCAAGTGGCTGATAGCCGCCAATATCGTCACCCGACGTAGGAGAATATCAGACTCAGAGGAAGAGGTAGCTCCACGACAAGCAACAGAAGCTACTCGTGAAGCTGTTATGTCGCCTCGAGGAAAGGATGCTGCTGAATCTTCCAGAAAGGGAAAGGAACCGGCCCGCCCAACCGACAGTGAAGGAGAGTTTGATAGTAAGGAAACTGAAACTTCTGAAGGAACGGGTGAGACTGATTCGAGTTCTGAGGAGGCGGCTGGCCTCCCCGATTCTTTCTTTGAAAGGGGACTTGTACGCCCTTCTGCTGCACCTACTCAACCACAGAATGCTCCGAAAAGAAGGGAGAGAGTCGTTATGACTTATCCCAACCGGATGACGGTAGAGGTTCATAGTGGGGATGAAGACGATGAAGAGGATGAAGTGCCTCTTGCTCGCCGGCAAAGATCGCAATCTTCCACTCAAGTTCAAACCCAGGTCCCTCCCAGCACTGAATTACGCACCAAACGTCGTCACGAATGTTCTGAATCACATCCACCGAAGAGATAAAAGAAAGCTGTCTCCAAACCATGCGTTCATCTTCCTGCTCTAGAAGAGATGTCTGGTCGTGGTGCTTCTTCTGATGAACAAGGTAACTATTTGTTTTTATCGCTTTTACGCTTCTTAACGCTCAAACTTATTTCATGCTCAACTTCTGTAGGGAGTCGAGAAGAAGGAGAATTGCCAGCTGATGTTTTTGTCCAACAAATGCAGGATGCTCTGAAGGAAGGACCAGCTGATGTTCCATCAAATCCTGACATTGATCCATCGGCTACAGACACAGGTACTGATCTTTCTCCTCTCGGAAGAGAAATCCGAGAAATGAATGAGTCGGACCGTGTGCCTCCTCTAATGACCTGTGCGCTTTGTCTCCTTTTAGTCAAGCTAAAAGAAGCGGCTACAAGTAGTGGAGCTCTCGAATCCGTCCCGGTCAACAAAGGTAACGTTAATCGTCTTTTTTGAGCAAATTCATCTAAATTTATATGGTATTTATGACTCAACACGTTCCGTAGATGCCACGATGCATGAATCAACTGAAGGAGAAGCTACCCATGCTACGAAAGTCAACGATTTTAATGATTCCGACTTTAATCTAAATATTTCAGAGGACGACCATCAGCAAATCTCCGATTTCTTGTTGGGGAAGGCTTCTGATGCCGCTATAGGATCAAATGTTGGACTTGGTTCAAAAGAAGCAAGTCCTTCTGAGAGTAAGACTTTGGTTCCGTAAACTCCATATATACAGACATATATATTTTAACTTGATTAATCATGTAAGTGTTCGAATTATAGGACCAGTTGCTGGAACTGATACTACTATAATCATTGGAACATCTGATCAACCGGATATTCGTGACCTCGTGCCATGGGCAGGAACTGAGGTTGATTTGCAATCATCCATTCTCGAATCTCAACCTGCTACTCCTATGGACCCCATGATGATAGAAGTCACCGTCACTCCCCAGATTAGTCCGGTCGCAACAAAAGCGAGACCAACTGAAGAAGTTGGTACGTCAGCCGATGTTGTGCCTAGAGTTGGTGAGTTTTACCCTTTATTTGTTTCGAATTTACGATCAACATTCCATCATACTTATTGTGGTTCTTTTGTTTGCAGAATATTCTCCCAAGGAACCTCTTAATTTGGACCCAAAATTCTCTGAAGTTGAGATTGAAAAATCTTCTGACGTAGCAGGTACGTCAAAGGCTGTCAGTCCTGAACCAACTTTGGCTATTCAGGAAGCCGAACTACCGTCCTTGGGTGAAAAAAGTCATGCTGAAGGATCTTCTGTCGAACTTGGTATGCTTCAGCTCATTGTCTTGCATGCATATATATGTTCTGTACTGACTTATTCGTCCTCATCGCAGCTCCTTCCTCAGCATTATTAAATCAAATCCAGGCTTTATTGGCAGACGAGGACCCGGATAAAGCTGTCATTTGCACTGATCTTCAAGGCTTCATCTCTTTTTTAAATGCTATGGTCGATCGCATTCTCTTCAAGGGCTCGTATTTTGAGAATTTTAAGAGACCCCTTGATCATTACATATGGGAAATTCGAGAGGAAGGATATAATGAGTTAGCCGATTCGATCAACACCTATTTGGTCGAGTTGAAGCAACATGTTGAACTTCTGAAGGATCTCCGCACCAAAGGCGTATCCTCCTATATCGCTTCTCACATGGACTCCAAGTTGCAAGCATGGCGTGATTCTCAAAAATTCTCTAACTCTGAACTCCAAAAGCTAAGAGCCCGCAGTAATCAACTTAGGGTGAGTGTTGGCAGGAAAACACGCCCGCAGTAATCAACTTAGGGTGAGTGTTGGCAGGAAAACACACGCCAAGGTTAACCTGCGCCGAGACATAGAGTCGAATCAAGCGGAGATAGCTCGCTTAGAAGAGCAACTTGTAAATGCTAAGGATGCTCGTGAAATTCTGGAGTCTGAGTTGACGAAGGTAACTCAAGCTGAAGAAGACCTATTACAGCAACTGAATTTTCAGGATAAAATACTTGCTGAAAAGGAACAAGAGATTGTCGAGCTTCAAAGTGTTGATGAAGAAGCTTTCAAAATTAAATTGGCAACTGAGCTTGAACAGGCTTATGCGTTAGAGCTTTCGCAGGTTGAAGATCAGATTCGTCAATATAAACTCTTGTAATTGGAGAACATATATTTTTGTAGCTTTGTTTGAACGCTTTTGGTAAATATAGTGAACTCTTTGCTCATTGAAATTTTATTATGATTACTCATTCTTATTTAGAATAAATAACCATAATACTTATAGAATTTTTTGCAAATTCTCAGCCATCAACGGATTTGATATGCCTTTACCGACTACCGTTTGAATCGGGCTAGTATGTGCCATCAACGGATTTGATATGCCTTTACCGACTACCGTTTGAATCGGGCTAGTATGTGAATTATCTAAATTCGTTCTACATATAACGTTGTGCTAAAAGAATTAAACTCTTTTAGACTTTAAACTACAATGTTGAATATGTAGGCTACATGTGTTAGATGTAGGCTTATCTCTAATAAGGGATAGAGATAACGTCCCCCATGCATGAACGACATGGATTTTGAAATATAAATAGGTTGTGTTTCCTATGAAGGAAAATGAACCAAAAATTATAAAGAAAGAATTGGGTATTCTATCTTTCAATCTCTTGTTTGTTGGTAGAGATAAACCCTAGAATTGGATAGGAATAATTTCATATTCCATCTCTTGGTCTCTTGTTTGTTGGTAGAGATAAACCCAAAATTAGAGAGGAAGAATTTTATATTCTATCTCCTGGTCTCTTGTTTGTTGGTAGTGATAAACCCAAAATCGGAGAGGAAGAATTTTATATTCTATCTCCTATTGCAAAAGAAACTCGAAGTGGGATCTTCACTTAAAGAATCTGGACTGGTTTGAATAATCCTAACTATCATAAGGTTTGATTATTCAATTCAAAAGTGGATCTTTCGTTCACAAAATGAATCGAAAGGAGATTTTGGTTGTGGTCCTAACTGTAGTAAGGTTTGACCAAGTGAGAGTTTTGAGACGATCCTAACTGTAGGAAGGTTTGATCGCTCGATTTGTGGGCCTCTCGTTCATTGAAGGAATCGAGAGGGGATTTTGGTTCTGGTCCTAACTGTTTAAAGGTTTGACCAAATGAGAGGTGGGAGTTTAAATGATTTTAATCCATGACGGATTTTGGTGTACCCTTAATCGATCGATTTGATCGGTGAGGGGTTTTGTGAGGAAAGATTAACTATTTACAGATTCGAATCTCATCTCAACAAAAGCTGTAAAAGAACTTTTATGATAATCAAAAGCATATTATTTAAAAGATCAGCTTCATATTTAAAACAATTAACTGATCTCGGGTTATCCCGAAATATCCTATATAGGATTCTCTAGGAACTTCCCGTTCTGCATAGGTTATCCTCAACATATTACGGATAATATTTTTTTAGGAACTTCCCATTTATTGGCATCATTAATTTGCTGCCATCTTGAGTAATCAGGTGGTAAGCACCGTTTGAATAGACTGTTTCAATCACGAACGGTCCTTCCCATTTAGGTTCAAATTAACCTTTCTTCTTAGATGTAAGAATCATAGGTCTTCGGACGGCGAGGACCAAATCTCCTTCTTTAAAACCTCGTTCTCGGACCTTTTTATCGAAACCTCGTTCTCAACAAAAGCTTGATAAAACTCGATCTGTTGTTGAGCTTCCAAGCGCTTCTCATCTAACATCTCTAATTCCTCAAGACGTTTCTGATGATGTTCTTCCGTCGTCATTCTCGTTGTAAGAGCGATACGAAGGGAAGGAATCTGTATTTCTAATGGAAGGACGGCTTCACACTCATATGTTAAGGCATACGGGGTGGTTCCGATTGGCGTACGGACGGTGGTACGATAAGCCTACAGGGCTTCGCCGAGTTTGTCGTCCCAATCTCGTTTATTGGTTTTCACCAATTTTGCCAGAATTTTGATGATAGTCTTATTAAAAGCTTCGGCCAATCCGTTAGCTGTAGGATTATAAGCAGTCGATGAAACGTCTTTAATCCCGAATTTACTGCAGAACATGATAAATGCGTTGCTGACGAATTGGGGTCCATTATCGTGCACTATTCGCCTCGGAACACCGTATCGATATATGATATGGTGTTTGATAAATTTGATAACATTGGTCGTCTTTACTTCTCTAAGTGGAACTGCTTCTGCCCATTTCGAGAAATAATCTGTGATTGCCAAAATAAAACGGTCCCCTTTAACCGAAGGCGGGAAAATAGGACCTACTATATCCATTCCCCAAGTTTCGAATGGCCATGATGTCGCCGATGGGTGTAAATACTCAGGCGGAATGTGCATATAATTTGCATGTAATTGACACGCTTCACATTGCCGTGCGTACTCAACCGCGTCTTTTACCATAGTTGGCCAATAATACCCGATTCTCCTAAGTCGATCACAAAGTTTAGGACCGGACTGATGTGCACCGCAAATCCCATCATGCGCCTCTTTGAGTGCTTGTTCCGCTTCTTTACCGGATAGACAACGTAGTAAAAGACCATCGTACGATCGTTGATACAACATTTGCGCTGTGGCATTGTAGTAAAACCTCGGCGCTCTTCGCCGAATCGATTCCCTTTCTCTTACATCTTCAGGCAATATACCATGTAGGACGTAGTCGATAATGAGGAAAACGCCAATCTCGAACTTCAGGTTCAACTCCTATTGAGTAAACCTCTTTGGCATTCGAATCGTAGATTGGGACAATAAGCTGGTGAGTCCTCACTGTAATCAATTGTTCTGTTTCGGGAGGTTGAGCCAAGGATACCGACAACACCGCTAATGCGTCTGCATACGCGTTTTGGAGACGTGGAACGTACTCGATGAAAAATTCTTCAAATGAGCTTGCCATCTCGATGGCCACCTGGTGGTATGGAATCAAGTCTCGATTTCTGACTTCATACTCTCCTCGTATTTGATTAACTACCAGTTGAGAATCCCCAAAAGCTTCAAGGTA